GGAAGGCTCAGGGTCACCTGATCCAGCCCTAACTATAAGCTTTATCAAAAAGGAACGTCTTAAGTCTAATCTTAAAGGTAGAGAAGGTGTCCACCTCCTGAACTGAGACTGGGAGTTGGTTCCATAGGAGAGGAGCTTGATAGCTAAAGGCTCTGCCTACCATTCTGCTCCTGTGGACTCTAGGAACCACAAGTAAACCTGCACTCTGATCAGCTCACATCTGGGCTGCAGAGTCACACCAGTCACAAACGTCTCGCTGGCCTCATTTCTTTGGCTTTTAGAACAAGAAGAATGGTGACTGAACCGAAGCTGGACGTGACTGCATTGAATTTGTAAAATTGTTTGTAGATGACACAGACACTGGTTGTGATGTAGGTGGGGGGGAGGACAGATGAACGTGAACCAAAGTGAGGCTGCAGCTCATTAGACTCTGCTAAAGAAGGAGGGTTTTACAGAGGAGGATCTGCAGCTCCGTGTGGAGGCTGAATTAGAAGGAGCTGACTCAGCAAAAACAAAAACGCAAAGAGGAAGTGGGACTGAAAGCTGACAGACAGATGTTGTTGGTCCACATTCTTCTTGTGTGACGTCCAGTCAGGACTAAAGCGTCTGTTGATCCGACCACAGTGACAGACAGACTGCAGAGAGTTATGTTGTCGCTGTGGCTACATCTCAACTCTCCTAACTGCACCGTCTTTTCCTCACGTCTTGGTCCCACCATCATAAGGTGCCAGGAAAACATGTTTCAGAGGCATGAGACGTTCCTCTGATCACCTAGGCACAGACATGAAAGCCCCCCACCCTCCGACAGTGGAGCCCCACACTGTAGAGACAAGGTGACTACAGACAGCACAGCGATGGTCATGTTTCTCTGTCTCTAGTCACTCAGCATCTATTTGTTGCTGCTGTTTGCGTCTTTGCAGTAGTTTTGTGTCTTTCTGTGGCTGGTTTGTGTGTTTTTTCAAGGCATTTAACTGACTTTAGAGCAGAGGTTCTGCCCAGGGGCCCTCTTAATCCTTTGGCCTGTGTCCAGTAGGCCCCTTCCCATGAAGGATGCTCTCGTGTATCCTCGCTCACAGCTCCCCCGGCAGCATCCCTGCTCCTCACAGAAGGAATAAGAGATTTGGATGGCGGACTGGATCGACGTCTGGGTTGAGCGACGAGCGGTCATATAAGAAACATGAGATGCAGCCACAGTCGCTGTGTCTCATCTGTCTGTGTTTCCTGTTTCTGTGGGACAGAAACTCTGAGTCTGACCAGAGCAGCACCTGGTGGACGTGAGAGGAACAGCAACTTCGACTGACACATCAGCCTCTTAATGTTCTTCGTTGTCAGTTTGTTTGATTACCCATTTAGTCGACCGTCAAAAGATGAATCTGCGACTATGTTGATAGCCAATGAATGGCTTTGTGGCATTTCTGAGCAAACAGTCAGATGTGCTGAGCTGAGGTTAAACTGAACATTTGGACTGTTTGGCCAGTCAACTGGGCCTGAATGACGGGTAGCTGTATCTGTGCTGCCAAAACCTGTACATGGAAACACAGTGGTGATTATAGGACAGACTGGGTCTCCTGGAGCAGAACAGCACTGACAAGACAACACTGACCCGCTCAGGCCAGAAGCGTTGTGTATGCTAATGTCACGTGTCTCATGTTACATGTACAGCGAGAGCCAGACCTCTCAGAGTCTTTGTGTCTTTGGGCAGCAGAAAACCGACCAGTCTCTTCATGTCTCTGGGACATCGTGTTACACAGCGTCTGGCTCCTGCTGGCTTCCATCAGTTCACATCCTCTCATCTGTTTTTGGCTCACTCACTTGCCTATTTGTATGTTTTCTGAAAGATGAATTTCTCTGTTCAAGCCTTCGGCAGCAGCTCTGGTTTCTCAGTGGGTCAGAGGCTTTTGTGTGTCTGTTGATGTCCAGGAGCTGAGTCCCGATAATCTTTCTAGCGGGCTTATTAACCTGTCGTAAAGCCTGCTGCTCATTCTTGCCAAACCAGTCACACAGTAGGTAAGTAGACTTTCAACAGCGCAGAGATAAAAGTTCAGAAGCAGCTTCTGATGGAGTTTCTCTTTCTTCAGCCTCCTCAGATTAAAGAGCCACCGCTGAGCCTTCTTGGTCATTAGCATAGTGTTAGTGCACCATGTCCGGTCCTCAGACACTGTCAGACAGAGACATTTAAATCTTGTAACCCTCTCCAAACACTGACTCTTCATTTTAGTTTAGTATTTATTTGAATTGTGTGTAAAACTGTTAACCGGTCTTTGCAGATTCTGGGATTTTATTCATCTCTCTTGATTCACTCTGTATTATTTTTATCATTGTTCTTATCATATGACACAAAGCAAAGAGTGCAGAGGAAGATTTTCACTGCACTGTGTCTCTTGTTGCTTTGTGCACAAGCGTAGAGCTTGTGAAGATTTGACTTTTCCATCTCTCTGAGGCATCTGGCTGGTTCTCTCTGTCCTTCAGGGTGGAGTCTGGCATCGTGGCCGACATTGAGGCTGACAGTTTGCTGCCTTCAGACTGCGATACCTTCTATCAGATCAAGAGTCAGCCTATCAGCATCAGGTAACACACACACACACACACACACACCGGTGACCAATGACCAATGACAAGTGTCACCAGGGTCACGTTTGGCTGCACATTGAGGTCCAAGTCTACAGTCCAGCTAGTCCACAATGTGGGCCCTAAAGCGGACGTTCTGCACACACTGAACCAGATTTCACTCCGGAAATGAGCCAGAATCCATAACAACATGAATGTGATTTGGTTTAAATCATAAAAGAAATAGAAATAAAAATATGGAGTAGGATTTCATCGGTGTTTTCAGGTGTTATGCGTCGCAGACAGAACATGAACTGGATCCTGTGGCTTAGCTGGAACATGCAGGTTTAACGTTTCACGCTCAGTTTCCCAGCTCACGTGCAGCAGCAGCAGCAAACCGAGGTCTGTTCTGAGCACAAACCGTGTTTTCATCAACAGCACAGACACAGCTAACTGATGATGTCACACTCTGACAGTGTGATGCCATGTAGTGATGTCACCAGTCTTAACTGTCACGTGTCAGATGATGTCATCATCTCTCTCTCTCCTCAGTGCATCAGCAGCAGCCTCCTCCTTTTCCTCATCTTCATCCTCACTGCCGTCAGTCATGTCATCCAGGTAAACGCCACAACACGCTCTCCCCTTTCTCTTTCTGGCTCTCTCCTATCTATGCCTCCTGCGGAGGGCGCTGTCCTCCTGCCCATGACAACCTCTTCTCCCCTCCCCTCTCCTTCTGCAGGGTCTTGTTGCGTCAGGATCTGATGCGTCAGCAGGCTCTGGAGGAGGAGCAGCAGCGGCGGCTCCTCTCGATGGACTCCTCGTCCCCCATCTCTGTGTCTGTGTCCTCCTGCGGACCTCCTGCTCAGGTCCCTGTGGAGGTGCTAAAGGTATGAGGAGGTGTTTTGATTTCTGAGAGGAACAAAGTAAATTTGTTTCCTGGGTTTCTAACCGCCTGCTAACAGAGCTAGCTTGGTCAGATAACGAGCATCTCAGAGAACATCAAACCAAATTCTAAACTGCCGTTCCCTGGATAGACTGACCTCATGTTCTCAGTCCAAGTGGTTACTGTGTGGCCTGAAAACATGTCACAACCTAATAAAGTGGCATAAAACCAGTCCTACAGATGAAACTGAGAACAGCTTTGAGCCTGGCTCCCAATCTCTGCCATCAGGCTCTCGCCCGGCTGTCGCTGTGGGTGTCTCCCCAGCTCTGGGCCGTAGCCTTGCTGGGCTCCTCCAGTCCCCGTCTCACACAGCTGGGTGGGCACTCGGTTTTGACTGGGTAGCTGTCACTGACCCAGGGGTTTGTCTACTTATGTGCTCGGAGTCAGAAATGGGGACTCTCGTTAACAACTTGGACTTGAGTCGCAGTTAAGTCACACACAGTGCCTTGAGACTTGTCCTCAAAAGACTTGAGACTCGACTCTGACTCAAGATTTGCAACTTGTGAACAGTGTTTAGTCCTTTCTCTTTTTTTTGCACAGTAACATTAAGTAAAGGTCTGTCGAGCCGAATGTCATTCCCTTTCCTATTATCGTATGTAACTTTAGACATGCATGGCGCTCTGCCACAGATGGCTGTAAGCTGCAGCAACAACACCATGACCATGGTGAGCACATCTGCAGCTGCTGTGCCATTATATCGTGCACCTCAAAATGCATCCTGACAGGTCAGTCAGTCACTCTGTCATGTGAAAGACAAGCTCCTGTTAGCTATCTAACATTAGCTTGTTACTAACATAGACAGGGTGATTGAGAGTCTATTTCAAAGTCTGAGTAGATTAATCACCCACGTTCCACTACCGTTTAGCTGAGAGAAAGACCATGTTAATAATTAACATGGGCTACAGGCAGGTTACAGGTTTACTGTTGACCATGTAACGTTACAGGCTTATTAGGTTAGCGTTACACTGGGTCTGAGGCTACAACCATGTGCTAATTTACAGTAGGTTATAAGTTATCCTTAGATGGAGACCCAGTGTAATTACACAGTAGGTTGTACTCTTAGCCGTTATTGTAAAATAGGTTACAGTTGTTATTGCTTACCTATAACGTTAGCAGTATTTTCCTGTTACCCTGAGAAACCATCAATATATACCATGTACCAAACACTAACTAATCAATGTACTGTACTGTAGGTAATAGATAATGCAGTGCTGATAATGCAGTGTATGCTTTGACTTTAGGGACCTGAGACTTGGGCTTGTGAGCCTCTCTGCTCAGCAGTGCGGCCGCACACTTTGACCACAAGGGGGCTCCCATACAGTCAGCAGCCTTCACGCCACTCACAGTGGTGAAGAGTCTTTTATCCAAATTGTGATATAGATCAGCACCAAAATGTAATCAGTTGTTCTGTGGCCAATACCCGGTCTCTTAAAAACATTTCATCAGAATCTGTTTGCTACCTTTTAAGTTTTGCTGTTAACAGCAATCAAGCAAACAAACCAACAAACGCTGGTAACACCCGCCCTTGGCGGGGATAATAACTGACACAGCCTTCAGTTCTTCTGTTTGTCTCCACACAGTAGCTGCTGTTGTGAGACAGACAGACTGGGGTGCCGCCTGGCCGAGTGGCACAGCGCACCGTATACCTCACTGGGGTTCGACTCCAGCCACCAACAGCTCTGTTGCAAGTCGCTCTCTCTCCCCCTGTTTCCTGCCCACCCCTCTGCAATTAACCAACTAATAAAGGCATAAAAAGCCCCAAAATAAATCTTAAAAAAAGAAAAACTGACAGACTAGATTCTGCATTTCCCATAATCATCATCAACCTTTATCCTACATCTCTAATAAAAATAGTGAATAAAGTGGGACCTAAAATGGATCCCTGTGAGAATCCAAAGAATACCTATAAAATTAGACTTACGGCTTGTGATCTATCAGACAAATCATTTACATGACTTTTTATCAAATTCAGTATAATAATGCACCTGGATAGCTGTGCTAAGTAAGACTCTTGTTTCTGTGTGTCCCTCAGGTGCAGACTCACCTGGAGAACCCCACCAGGTATCACATCCAGCAGGCTCAGAGGCAGCAGGTGCGTCAGTATCTGTCAACCACTGCCAAGACAGCTAATCAGGAGCTAGCTGGACTGTCGCCAAGACACTCCCCTTAAAATACAGTTCCAATGAAACATTTGGATACTCTATGCCACCAAAGTGAATCAGAATATGTGTCCAAACCTTTGACGGAATGCTGTACCTACATAATATAGATCCATATATACACTTGAACAGGACGCTCATATACCAACACAAGGTGATCGCTGTTCACTGGAATCCCATAGACCAATTAAAGGAGCACTTCACCAGTCAGCAGTGTTCTTCCTGTCAGAGTCTGCTGAATCAGCTGTTAGACAGGAGCTGAGTCAGCGCTCAGCTGAGTCACACTGTTGATCTGCTGCAGCAGCTGAACACAAGCACTCGCTGCTTTATGGAGACAGCAGCTGGGGATGTCCCAGCGTGTTACGGCCCTGCTCCGAGCCCTTTAACCGTCTCTGGGAGTCGGCCGATAGTGAGTCCAGTCTGACGGTCCTTTTTTTTTGCCCAAATGTGATTGAACCTGTATCTGGCACAGTGAAGTAACAGCTGCAGATACACCGTGGTTCTGACAAGCTTCTTGCTCCAAACACTGAAGGTCCTGATTCAAAACTGTGAAGCTGATCAGTTTAACCTATTGATGGGGTTAGAATGAAAGTTTAAATGGCGAGTGTGACATGATGAGAGCTTCTAGAGAGTAGATTCAATTCAATTCAAATTTTATTTGTATAGCGCCAAATCACAACAAAAGTCATCTCAGGACACTTTACAAAGTAAGGTCTAGATCTTACTGTTATCAATATTATTACAGAGGGAAAACCCAACAAGCCTGGTAGGCTAGTGGTTAAGGCGACAGTAGAGCAGTCATCTCCCAACCATGGGTTGAAGGTTTGAATCTCGGTGCCGGCAGTCCACGTGTTGAAGTGTCCTTGGGCAAGACACTGAACCCCCCGGTTGCCCCCGATGGTTAGAGCCATTGGTTGAGTTGGCGCCGCAGATGGCTGCCTTGATTCTGTCCCGGAAAAAAATTCC